AGATTTTTCTTAATTGTCAATGGTGATACTTTAAATGACACTTGGAGATAACACCTGTCAGTGATCATAACCCAAGCTGTACTAAATATTATGACATTGTGTGCTGTAGGCATTGCTTAGTGGTGTATATTTTGTTTTATAACAAATTGAGGCTAAATTACTGGTCAATTACTATTTCATATAATTTTTATACTTACTTCTGATAACTAATTAAATAAATAAGTACAGATATGAAATAAAAACTAATTCAAACAGTGTAGATTTGTTCTATCTTTGAATTGCCAGGCTTTCAGAAATAATCAAACTGTTTGTTTTCATTTTAACACCTTTACCATGCAAATATCACAGTGACATAACATGTTTGTTTATTTGAAGTTAAGCACAAAGCTACACAATGGGCTATCTGTGCTCTACCCACCACGGGTATCAAAACCAGGTTTATAGCTCTGTAAATACACAGACATACCGCTGTGCCACTGGAGGAAGTGACATAGCATACCAAGGGTATTACATGTTCTTTCTATGACTATTGACCTGTCAATTGTTTTATTAATGCAACAGAATTTGTAACATGAAAATCAATCATTTATTAGAAATAGCCTGTCTCTAAACAATAATTTGTTAGATGATTTTAACTTTAGTAGTAAAATGATCCTCAATAACCTAGAATTAGGAAGACAAGAAAGAACTCTTACACTGTTTAGGCAGAAACCTAGCTATTATGTAAATAATCTATTAACCCTATTGTGACAGACATCCTTCACTATGCACGACACAAGGTTTTAGAGACTTACATTCAAAATTTTATTAATCTACTTTTTGTTTACGTTATACCAATTAGTATAGCGTAAAAGCTTAGCTAATAATCCATATTTTAATAGTATATAAGTTTTAAGTTATTAATTTTTTTTGGCAATATTTTAAAAAATTCCTGAATTTCCCCTAGTATAATACATGTAACACATTCATTCTAGGCATCTTCTCTATTTTATCTATCATCCCTCCAATAAGTATGAAATTCAACATAAATTGCTCACTACAAAATTCTCTTTGCTCAGACAAACCATACTTTTATAGCCTTCAATTGTTTGGTTACAGAGCCATCAAATAAAAAATCAGACCCCTCTTGCCACACTCACCTATCATCTTTTTCAGGACTTGTTAATAGTTCTCTCTTACTTTTAATTCTGTATCATGTATAACCAATAGAAAGCCAAGGTTTTTATCTATCAAATGATGTATTATATTACGTTGTTTTCTGAACAGAGAATTGTCAATTTCTCTGTTTGAAAAAGCTTCCTTCACATGGGAAAGATAACGACTAGCTTGAATGAATTTGTAATGGCTCTTGTTGCATAGTTAGAAAGCCCAGAAAAATTGTGATAATTAGAGGAAACTGTCTGCTTTTTGCATGTTATTAATCTATGTTCTTTGATGAATTATTTAATCAAATAAAATTATTTAGTGAATTACTATCATTAGTATAAAAAAGTTAAATATCATCGACACTCGGGCAGTAAAATTAATAATAATATAATAAAAAGGCATGTATGCAAGCAAGCACCTCATGGGTAACATAATTTGATAGCATAACATGAGCTCCACATTCCCCATGCAATTTACAACTTATAATGGCACAAATAGTAGTTAGACATGGTTTAAAGAGCAATAAAACATTAAAATTTAATTATAATAGATGTATACTGTTATGCGTTTAAAGCTACTTAGGATTAATGAATTTAGTTTCATGTTATAATTTGAGGTCATTCTTGAAAGAAAAAAGCGTAATTCAGATTTCGATTTTTTTTTAGTGGTTACAAATTCGGTCAAATTGACCAACCTTGTATAGAGTTAGGGTAGAGAAACTAACAGATAAAATATAAAATTTTAGTGAAAATAATTGTCTGAAAGGTATTTAGGAGGTTTTAGAGAATATACAAATCAAATTTGAGATTGTTGAGATGAAGTATTTATAATCTTAACATGAAAATCACTTTGCACAAGGACTATTCTAAACAAATACCCGATATATTCACAGACAAATCTTTAGTAATAATAGTTCGTTAAAAAAAACAGATTTTTTTTGTGTACAAAATACTTGTAATTGTACTAAAAGTTTGTCAAATACTGTGAAGATATACACACTGTATTAAAAATTATAGTATTAAAACTATAGAAAAGTAAAAATAGTATCATGGTCGATACCTGGGTCTGACCCTGTATTGAGAGAGTTAACTCGGTTCCAGGGACCGATCTTATAACTATTTTGGGCTTGTTATAGTTTTCATGCTATAACTTTTAAATCAGCAAGTGTATCTTCAGAAAATTTTGCATATTATCAGTAAACATTATAAGGCTTTCATAGGCAAATTATCAGTAATTTTTTTTCATTTAAGTTTTAAGATTTTTTAAAAATAATTGTTTTTTCTCATGTACTTTTTAACTTTTTGAATTGTTGACTATCCAACATGCAAAGT